TGAATAACTCAAAGGGGTTTTTAAGTGCTTCTTACGACAAATGGTGTCAAGATGGCTAAACGTCTTATCAGAAAACCTGGACATAAGAAACTCAATTGGTTTGCTGTTTATATTTTTTTTTTTAGATATTAAACATTGTGTGGGATGGACAATTATGCTGTTACACAACTTGGACAATTTTGCTGTTACACCATGTATGTATGTATGTATATATATATATATGTGTGTGTGTGTGTGTGTGTGTGTGTTGTGTGTGTGTGTGTGTGTGTGTGTGTGTGTGTGTGTGTGTGTGTGTGTCCACTGTCTGAGCATGCTAGTGTGTGAATGCGTACGTGGATGTACTGCTGGTAATATTTGTCCCAAAAATGTATTGCTGCTATTAAAACCTATTTTTACTCTTTCATAGTGTTCTGACCCCATTTCGTGGGTTAACTATTTGCCCATAGCGTGGACCCTAACAGGTCTACCAGCCGGGTCAGGGTGTACCTGAGAACGTGCTCCTCAAAACCTCCTGAGCAGAGACTTTTCTGCCGGATGTAGTTTATCGTCTTACCCAGGACATGGATGTAGTTTATCGTCATGCTCAGAACGGACAGTTTTTCAGAAAATTATATTTCTCAAGTTTACTGTCATCGTTCTTTCTAATATTGATGTGGGTTTTCTTCCTAACCTTTTGTTTAAGGTAGTGTGGAAAGTCAAAATCTTTATTTTATCTTTATTGTCCATGTTAGTCATGTCGGCATTAAATAACCCATTGAGTTTGATATATCGTAAAACAAAACGAAACAAAATATATTGCTAGTAAAAATGCATTACAGGTAATATTTTTTCCAAAATAGATTAGTGTTAATTTATTTTTTCCAAAAATGTATTGATGGCAATATTTTTTCTAAAAATATATTGCTGCTATTAAAACCTGTTTTTACACGTTCATAGAGTTTTGACCCCAGTTTGGGGTTAACTATTTGCCTAGAGCTGGGACCCGAACAGGTGCTACCACCTCTGGCCAGGATGGACATGGGAACAGCAGCAATTAAGAAATGGTTCCAGGCTTTTCAAAACCTCCTGATCAGAGACCTTGCTGTTGGACGTAGTTTATCGTCTTACCCAGAACACGGATGTAGTTTATCGTCATACCCTGGACGCGGATGTAGCTTATCGTCATACCCTGGACGCGGATGTAGTTTATCGTCTTACCCAGGACGCGGATGTAGTTTATCGTCATACCCTGGACGCGGATGTAGCTTATCGTCATACCCTGGACGTGGATGTAATCGTCTTACCCAGGACGGATGTAGTTTATCGTCATACCCTGGACGCGGATGTAGCTTATCGTCATACCCTGGACGTGGATGTGGATCGTCTTACCCAGGACGCGGATTTTTATCGTCATACCCTGGACGGATGTAGCGCGTCATACCCTGGACGGGATGTAGTTTATCGTCTTACCCAGGACGCGGATGTAGTTTATCGTCATACCCTGGACGCGGATGTAGCTTATCGTCATACCCTGGACGCGGATGTAGTTTATCGTCATGCCCAGGGCGGAGAGTTTTTAAGAAAATTATATTTCTCAAGTGCACTGTCGTCGCTCTTTCTATTATCGATCTGGGTTTCCTTCCTAACCTTTTGTTTAAGGTAGTGTGGAAAGTCAAAATCTTTATTTTATCCTTATTGTTTCATGTTTGTTACATTTGCTATCCATTTTAGTTATTACTGATGTTGGAAATCTTCAAGTGATTTTTTTTCTATTTGTTAAAGCTCTCCTTTGTAAAATCGACTCCCGGGAGAATACGTCCCCAATCTCTGCAATCTTAAACTGTTCATCAACTGTTATCTTCCCAACATATTCCCATAAACTGTGCTTCTTACGCTGTAACTCTCTACCTCGAGTGGCTCTTGGGCCTTGTACAGGGTGGGCATCATTGTAAAAACCACCAGTCTGTAGGATTGATGACGGATCGACTCTTTTAAAGGCCTGAAAGATACATTCACTTGAAGTCATTTTAATCATAGAAAACGGTTGTATTGAAATGCTAAATTAGACATTTTCTGCACAAGTTGAGCGGCATGCGTCATATCCATATGACAGTTTTCATCTGACTATGATAGTTAAGAACATTTAATAATAATTAATTATAATACCCTGACATTCATACACAGATGTCCTCAAAGAGAGGTGGCACAGTGGATAAAGGCGTTGGTTAGATCCAGTGACAGGACACAAAGAGTTTGAGTTCAATACCCGGTTAAGGCAGTAGAGAACTTGGAGAGAGGAGATAACTGACATTTATTAAACATGACACGTGGAAATAGAACAGTCTAGCCCAGTGAGTGAAATAAAGGGTTCATTTCGACATTCCAACTACCTGAAGAAGGCCGGAGTGTACAACGGCCGAAACGTTGTAATAAATATGGCGACAAAGATGAGGAGATTAGTCCGAATAATGTAAATAGTGTACCCTTGGGAAAGGTATGAATCATCTTTTTTTTTCTCCCCAGCTATGGGTAAATAGCAGAACAGACCGGGTTCTATAGCCTCGGATAGCAACAGAAAGAAATGGCAACCTACTGCGGGAATAACAAAAAATGTGCCTCGTCAGTCATGTATCGAAAGATACATGATCGCCAAAGCGTGTATCACGCATGGCATCTAACTGACTGTCGAATCCAGTACATTCACTTACGTGCTAATACCATTGGGATAATTGTGAATGCTCTTTTTCTCACTCCGGGTATGGTTAAATTGCAGGACAAACCGGGTTCTATAGTCTTGGATGGCAACTGGTCTACCGCAGAAAGAAATGGCAACCTATTGCGGGAAAAATATGCTGCGTCAGTCATGTATCGAAAGATATATGATCGCCCAAGCGTGTTTTACGCATGGCACATAACTGACTGATACTTAACATCAGGAAGAGGGGGCTGAAATTTCTGAGTCGAACATGTAAGCAACGACGATGATTTAGAGAGAAAAACAAAACAAAAAAGAAACTTATGCTTAACATCCATTGCATTCATTATGTTCTAATATCCTTAGGAAAGATATGGACCCTCTTCTTCTCTCCCCAGCTATGGATAAATAGCAGGACTGACCAGGTTCTTTAGCCTTGGATGGCAACTGGTCTACCACAGAACGAAATGGCAACCTACTGCCGGGAAAAATCTGCCTCGTCAGTCATGTATCGAAAGATATATGATCGCCTAAGCGTGTATCACGCATGGCACATCACTGTCTGTCCCTTGGGAAAGGTATGTATCCTCTTCTTCCCCCACCCTTTATCTATAGGTAAATAGTAGAACAGACCGGATTCTATAGCCTTGATAGCAACTGGTCTACTTCAGAAAGAAATGACAACATACTGCGAGAAAAGATCATCCTCATCAGTCCTGTTAAGCGTGTATCACGCATAGCACATAACTGACTGACCCTTTTCTCCACCCCAGCTATGGGTAAATAGCAGGACTGACCAGGTTCTATAGCCTTGGATGGCAACTGGTCTACCACAGAACGAAATGGCAACCTACTGCAGGAAAAAATCTGCCTCGTCAGTCATGTATCGAAAGATATATGATCGCCTAAGCGTGTATCACGCATGGCACATAACTGACTGAACATTGTGAAAGATATGAATCGTCGTCTTCTCCCAGCTTTGGATAAAAAGCAGACATACCGGGTTCTGTAGCTTTGGATGGCAACTAGTCTACCGCAGAAAGAAAAGGAAACCTACCGCTTTGAAAAAATACGCCTCATCATAACGGATATCGAAAGATACATGATCGTCTAAGCATGAATCATAAAAGTGTAAACATGGGTTTTAATACCAGAAATACTTTGAAAAAAATTATTACTAGAAATAAATTTTTGAAGAAAAAAATTTTACCAGGAATATGTTTTGAAAAAAAAACTATTACTAGCAATACGTTTTCGAAAAAAATATTACCAGATATATGTTTTTGAAAAAAATAATATTACCAGGTATACGTTTTTTGAAAAAATAATATTACCAGCTATACGTTTTTTGAAAAATAATATTACCAGCTGTAAGTTTTTGAAAAATATTACCAGCTATAAGTTTTTGAAAAAATAATATTACCAGCTATACGTTTTTTGAAAAATAATATTACCAGCTATACGTTTTTTGAATAAATAATATTACCAGCTATACGTTTTTTGAATAAATAATATTACCAGCTATACGTTTTTGAAAAAATAATATTACCAGCTATACGTTTTGAAAAAAATAATATTACAAGCTATACATTTGGAAGAAAAAAAAATTAACAGAAATAGATTTTTGACAAAACAAAAATATTACCAGAAAAGAAAAGAAAAAAAAAAGAAAAAGTTGTCGACATTAAATGACCCATTGAGGTGTTGATATGCCGTAAAACAAAACAAACCAAACTAGACGTCCTTCTCCGTATCCTTTCCTCAAACACTCCTCTTTAATCTTATTCCGACTCTATAGAACCCCTTACGTGTTTGTCACATTCCCGCCTTGCTTGGAGTGATATGCTTTAAAAAAAATGAAGGACAAAAAATAGTCAACTTTTCTTATATTCATTATATATATATATATATCGTTTCCGGTATAAATTTATATTAACACAAAATATTGCAGGTACGTGACTCATTGAGAAAAAAAAAATATGCCAGTCCGCCATATCAGTTGGCTTGAGAAGCAATAGTGTAGATAACACTAAGGAATATCTAAATGTAAAATAATCATTTTGTTTTCGCTATCTTTGGAAATATTTGAGACATCGTGTGCGCTGAGCAGGTCGACGGTTGTAGGGACCAGCAGTATTTCATGTTGGAATTGAAGTGGCCTTGATAACTCAGATATGTTCTGGCATCTGAATTCGTTAAAAGAGAAAAATCGAGATGAGAATGCAAGAAATGCATTTTAAGAGACATCTGGCAACCCATTCTTTGATATGATGTTAGCATATCGTTGATACAATTATCATAGATCTAAGTACTGTGCGACACAGATATGTCCCGTCCAGCTAACACGGACGAATCCCATACCGCCAAGTGGATTCAATTTACCTATGCACTTGTTATCAGACATCAATCCTCTGATCTAGGGTTCGGTTCAGTTTAGCGTCGCATTTCTCAGCGCCAAAATTTCCCTTTTAGAAACTGGAATCCACAACCCTCGTGTGCTGTTGATTTTACGAAATTCTTCATGCGGTCGAGTTTGGTGTTAAGGAGTGCAAAACAAAAAAAAATCTTTTTGAGGTTATCTCTAATTAATTCGAATCACGCAAAATCCTGACATGCGAGAACAATTCTAAGTGCAGGTTTGGCATCAGGTTGCAAGATTTCGTCCAGAAGACGTTTTTTTTAAAACCAGAAGCAAAATATATACAATTTTCCACATTATTCGATCAGCGCTAATATGATAAAGTAGTCTGGAAAGGTACAGAATAAATAGCTTAAAATCATTTAATGTTTTTTTTTTTTTTTTTTTTTGGGGGGGGTTAAGTTAAGACGTCGATATCATTTTAATTTTTACATTTGGATTTTAAAAACCTGTAAAATAAAAAATAAATAAATAAATAAAATAAAGTATAAATAAAATAAAGTAAAATAAAGTAAATAAATAGATATTTTTCAAAAAAACAAATAAAGTATAAATAAATATAATAAAATAAATAAATAAATAAAATAAATTATAAAATATAATATATATATATAACTATATAAAATATATAAATATAAAAAATATATCAAATATATATATAAAATATATATATATATATATATATATATATATAAAATATATAAATATATAAAACATTTATATATTATATAATATATAAAATGTAAAATATAAATTAAATAAATAAGATAAATAAAGTATAAATAAAATAAAAGTAAACAAATACATATTTTTAAAAACAAATAAACAAATAAAGTATAAATAAAATAAATAAATAAAATAAAATGAATAAATAAATACATATATAATATATAATATACAAATATATATATATAAATATATAAAATATATAAATACAAAAAATAATATATATATATATAATATATATAATATATATGTATGATATATATATATATACATATATATATATATATATATATAAAATATATAAATATACAATATATATAAAATATAAAATATAAAATAAATAAATAAAATAAGGTAAAATAAAAGTAAACTAGCACATATTTTTCAAAAAAACAAATAAAGTATAAATAAAATAAATAAATAAAATAAAATAAATAAATAAAATAAGTATAGAATATAGAATATATAATATATATATATATAAATATATAAAATATATTAATACAAAATATATGAAATATATATATAATATAATATATATAATATATATGTATGATGTATATAATATATATCTAAAATATATATATATATATAAAATATATAAATATATAAAATATATAAATATAATATATATATATATATATATATATATTATATAACATAAAAAATATAAAATAAATAAATAAAATAAATAAAATATAAATAAAATAAAGTAAAGTAAAACAAAATAAACAAATAGAGATTTTTCTTTTAATGTTATATCCTATCAGGACGGGGGTAACATATATCTCTGGGAATTCATTTTCTGTATTATTATACAATTGCTATGGCTTTTGGGAGACGATTGTGGAATAGCTTTTTTTTTTACTCAGTATTGAATTCAAAATAGTTTTATTTCACCTAGACTGGCTAACAACCAAGCGAATATTTTCCTTTGACTTTTTTTACGTTTTTCTAAGCTTTCTTTTCCTTCTGCTTTTTCTATTTTCTTCTGTCTATACGCATGCATTCGAGTTTGCATCTATCTGTTGCTACTTCTGTTTTTTTTTTTTATTTTACCTGAATTCTTATACTTCAACTCTTTCGAAGTTTCTCCTTTTTCTCCACCTGCAATTCTATTCCTTTACCTCTTCCTTCTTTCCTTCCTTCTTTCTTTTATCTCCCCCCATATTCTTTTCATTCATCCCTTCCGCTTTAGTGTCTTTTCTCTCTTTTCTCCACCCGCATTCTATTCCGTTATCTCTTTCTTCCTTCTTTTTTTTATCCCCCCCATAATCTTTTCATTCATCTCTTCCTCTTTTTCCTCTTTTCTCTTTTTTCTCCACCCGCATTCTATTCCTTTACCTCTTTCTTCCTTCTTTCTTTTATCCCCCCCATATTCTTTTCATTCATCTCTTCCTCTTTTTCCTCTTTTCTTTCTTTTCTCCACCCGCATTCTATTTCTTTGCCCCTCTTTTCTCTTTCTTTTATCCACTAACATCTTTTTCCTTCATCTTTTTCTCTTATTTTCTCTTTTCTTACTTTTCTCCACCCATATTCTGTTCCTTTACTTCCTTCTTTTTCTCTTTCTTTACCCACCCACATTCTTTTTCTTCAAATCTTTTTCTATATTTCTCTTTTCTCTCTTTTACCCACCCACATTCTATTTCTTTATCTCTTTCTTTTCTCTTTCTTTTATCCACTCACATTCTTTTCTTTGATCTCTATTTCTCTTTTATCTGCACCCCCACCGCGGCACAGTGTATTTCTTTATATCTTTTCGCTTCCTTTCTTTTTTTCAACTTCCATTATTTTCTTTTGCCTCTTTCTTCTTTCTTTCTTTTCGCCACCCACATTCTTTTGTTTCGCTGATTTCTCTTTTCATCGTCCTGGGTAAGACGATAAACTACATCTGCGTCCTGGGTATGGCGATAGACTACATCCAACAGCAAGGCCTCAGATAATGTTTTCGGGAAAATAATGTTGCCAGCTATACGTTTTTGAAACAATAATGTTGCCAGCTATCCGTTTTTGGAACCATAATGTTGCCAGCTATACGTTTTTGAAACAATAATGTTGCTAGCTATTCGTTTTTGAAACAATAATGTTGCTAGCTATTCGTTTTTGAAACAATAATGTTGCCAGCTATTCGTTTTTGAAACCATAATGTTGCCAGCTATCAGTTTTTGAAACCATAATGTTGCCAGCTATCCGTTTTTGAAACCATAATGTTGCCAGCTATACGTTTTTGAAACAATAATGTTGCCAGCTATTCGTTTTTGAAACCATAATGTTGCCAGCTATACGTTTTTGAAACAATAATGTTGCCAGCTATTCGTTTTTGAAACAATAATGTTGCCAGCTATACGTTTTTGAAACAATAATGTTGCCAGCTATTCGTTTTTGAAACCATAATGTTGCCAGCTATCCGTTTTTGAAACCATAATGTTGCCAGCTATTCGTTTTTGAAAACATAATGTTGCCAGCTATTCGTTTTTGAAACAATAATGTTGCCAGCTATACGTTTTTGAAACAATAATGTTGCCAGCTATTCGTTTTTGAAACAATAATGTTTGCCAGCTATACGTTTTGAAACAATAATGTTGCCAGCTATTCGTTTTTGAAACAATAATGTTGCCAGCTATTCGTTTTGAAACCATAATGTTGCCAGCTATACGTTTTTTGAAACCATAATGTTGCCAGCTATTCGTTTTTGAAACAATAATGTTTGCCAGCTATCCGTTTTGAAACAATAATGTTGCCAGCTATTCGTTTTTGAAACCATAATGTTGCCAGCTATCCGTTTTTGAAACAATAATGTTGCCAGCTATCCGTTTTTGAAAACATAATGTTGCCAGCTATTCGTTTTTGAAACCATAATGTTGCCAGCTATCCGTTTTTGAAAACATAATGTTGCCAGCTATTCGTTTTTGAAACAATAATGTTGCCAGCTATCCGTTTTTGAAAACATAATGTTGCCAGCTATTCGTTTTTGAAACAATAATGTTGCCAGCTATTCGTTTTTGAAACCATAATGTTGCCAGCTATCCGTTTTTGAAACCATAATGTTGCCAGCTATCCGTTTTTGAAACCATAATGTTGCCAGCTATACGTTTTTGAAACAATAATGTTGCCAGCTATACGTTTTTGACTTTTAAAGTCACTCAAAATCATTTTCGGCATAAAGTGTCCACTAAGGTTGAGATGCCATTAAACAAAACAATCAACAATCAAATGGAAATTCTTGACTTAAACAAAAAATACCTAGGATTATTTTGCAAGCAAATAATCTGTAGCTTGCTAAAAATGTTCCATACAAAATAGGCATTTAAAATTCATATATTTGGCATATATATATAAACTAGATTTGGCATTAAATAACCCACAGTGGTTGATATGCCATAAAACCCAAACAAACGAACAATCAAATTCTCTTTTCATTCTTTTGACTGGAAGGGAAGAAATCGATTCATGTCTTTTTCCAGGGCAGGAACACGAACATAACTTAAAAGGTGTAATTAACTTTAATTAACTTTAATTAACTTTAAGCTTGTATGTGATTTTGCAGAAACTACAAAGAAAAAAGATATCCAAACTGGAATTTGAAATAAAAAAAGAGAGAGACATCTTTTGAACAGACTTAAATAAAACTTGTATTGTTTTATTTTCATGGAGAATTACTTTATTATTTAATTTCGGTATACTTAAAAATCTTAATCTTTAAATACGGATGTTAAGAAAATTAGGCAAAGTTTCCATCTATATGTATAATTCTCAAAATGTGTGTGTGTGTGTGTGGGGTCGGATTTTGTTTATTCGTTTCCACAGATTTTATCTGATGTCGATTGAATTTCTTGATAGATAATTCATTCTTCAATACCGGTTTGGAGTCCGAATTGGCTGGAAAAAATTACAACCTTGAAGGTGAAATATCGCAAAAACTGATTTTTTTAGACTTTGCGTAAAAATCAAAGGCAGAATTTAATGTTTATATAAAACAGCGTACAATCAATTTAGAGAGCTGAAATCTAACGCAAAAGATTATTAGGATTATAAAAATAATTATATTATAAATAAGAATTATCGTATATTATTATTATTATGACAGTGCAGGGAAGAGGTTCTTTCTTTGCAAGACTGAGAATACAAAAACGGCCCTTTTCAGAGCCACCTCCCATTCAAATTGTTACCCCCCCCCCACATTTGGGAATGTGCCTCAATTGTACCAATTGTTGTTAGTAATATCGATTTCCGGGTGGGCTGACTTTAAACTTAAACTGCTCCAACTGAACTGGCAAAAATTCCCATAGTGAATCACCGGATCGAAGACGGGTTATTCCTGCTAGTAAATTATATAAAATGATAATACTGACGCCATCATAAGGTAATAAAGGAAAGCGAGAAGAAAGGACTAACTATTAATTTTAAAAATACAGATTGTATCTTATTCAACGAGTTAAATAAATCTAGAGCCTAACTACGAGTTGGTGATGTCAAAATCGGACAATTTTTTTTTTTTTTTTTTAATCATTTCACCCTAAGCAAGGTGATAAAGCCACTATGACGCAGTGCGGGTTACTGAGTGTGTAAGAATATGAGTCAAATAATAAAAAATCTTTATTAAGGAGAGAGTACAATAAAAGAACAAGAAACGGGAATGTAGACGATAAAGATTTACATTTCATTTAATTTTTTGAACATCAATGTTGACTGGAAAGCAAGAAGCCGGAAGAGAGTTTCACGAGTGAGAAGTGCAACCGAAGTAACTATTAACATAGAACTTACGATTACATTTAGTCATTTCAATTGTAAAAATGATGAGACCTAGCTGCCAATCTAGTACTGCGCTTAAATTCATATAGTCTAGGCATCAAAGACGAAACTGCAGCAAAACAGTTACCATGGAAATATTTATAGAAAACCCCCAGTGAAGTGACTGAAGCCGAGATGCCAAACCAGCACCAATGACATTGCAGATTTTTCATTGTTCTTTTCCGCAGCCTATATGCTAGCTTCTTTAGAATATTTCCCAGTGTTCCCATAACGACTAGTATAACTGAAATTTATACATATTTGGTAAAGTTGAGATATTTATCGATTGTGTTATTCTTCCGTTCAGCCCTAGTATCTGGTTTGACATAACATCCAAATCTATTATGTGATATGTTAAAAACGATGTTGAATTGAAGAAAAAAATACGCGGGCGAAACATGTCCTATTGTATTAGTATGACAGATTATATTAAGCAATAAAATGTCTGATTTTTTTTTTAATATTAACAAAGAAAATAAAAAGGGGGAAAAAGAAAGAAAGTGATAAAGTAAGAAAGGAAGGAAACAGAAGAAAGAAAGAAAGAAAAAAAGAAAGAAAGAAAGAAAGAAAGGCGCAAACAAACAAACAAACAGACAAACAAAAACAAGTCTGAATGTGAGGGAGAAAAATTTAATAAGATGTCAAGTAGAAATGCCATAATCTGAAGAAAAGGAAGAAAAAAGAGGAAAAAAGAAAGAAATTGATAAAGAAAGGAAACAGAATGCAGAAAAAAATAGCAACAGAAAGAAAGAAAGAAAGAAAGAAAGAAAGAAAGAAAGAAAGAAAGAAAGAAAGAAAGCGTATATAAAAGGAAGACAAAAGAAAAGAAAAGGGTTAGGAAAGAAAGAAAGAAAGAAAGAAAGAAAGAAAGAAAGAAAGAAAGAAAGAAAGAAAGCAGCGTATATAAAAGGAAGACAAAAGAAAAGAAAAGGGTTAGGAAAGAAAGAAAGAAAGAAAGAAAGAAAGAAAGAAAGAAAGAAAGAAAGAAAGAAAGAAAGAAAGCGTATATAAAAGGAAGACCAAAGAAAAGAAAAGGGTTAGGAAAGAAAGAAAGAAAAAAAAAGAAAGAAAGAAAGAAAAGAAAGAAAGAAAGAAAGAAAAGTAATAAAAGAAAGACAAAAAGAAAGAAAAGGGTTAGAAAAGAAAAAGGAAAGAAAGAAAGAAAAAGAAAAAGAAAAGAAAGAAAGAAAGAAAGAAAGCGTATATAAAAGGAAGACAAAAGTAAGGAAAAGGGTTAAGAAAGAAAGAAAGAAAGAAAAAAGAAAGAAAGAAAGAAAGAAAGAAAGCAAAAAGAAAGAAAGAAAGAAAGCAGATATAAAAGGAAGACAAAGAACGAAAGAGAGGAAAAGGGATTTGCAAATAAGAAAGAAAGAAAGAAAGATACAAAGAAACAGAGAAACAAACAAACAAACAAAAAAACAAAGAAACATCAAGAACAAGTTTGATTGTGAGGGAAAAAAATTTAATAAGATGTCAAGTAGAAATGCCATAATCTAAAAAGAATGACAACCATACAAAACGAAAAAAAGAAATGATTGAACGAGATTGAACTTTAAATGTGTGAATCATTTTTTTTTTTTAAAGAATTCATTTTTTTTTAATATCAGCCTTTATACAATGACTGATATTGTCCAGAGTACACGAACGACAATGGTGATCGGATTATTACTAATACCTTCACAACACACACACACACACACACACACACACACACACACACACACACACACACACATACACAAATATATATATATATATATATATATATATATATATATATATCAGTTGAACTGTGTTTCTGATCAAACAAAGCTCATAAATAATTAGATCGGTCACATATATATATATATATATAATTCTCAAAATGTGTGTGTATATGTGTGATCAAATGTTGTTTATGCATTTCAAC